ATCATGTGTTAGGTTTTCCTATGAGACAGCCTACTGTAATGTCATTTTTGTCCAGCCTTAGATCCCCCATGAACTTGAAACATACTGCCATTTCAACGTTGCAGTATAGCACAGACTCTGGAGCCTGGACGTTTTCGTTTCCTTCCTAATCTTCAAGTGTTGAAAATACTCTGACACCTTAATAGGCTCACGGTTGCTTTGCAGGGTGTATGTGTGCAAGCACAGTTGGCTGCACGTGACTAGGGAAGTACAGAAACACTCTCTCCTCATGTCACCTGGAACATGCTTGTTTCACCAGGCAGAGCTGGTGGGGGGACAGCAGCCACGTGGTCCCCCTAGTCCCTGCCCTGTGCTGGCATGAGTAAATCATGCTGTTTATTTGGGAAAGGCATTGGAAAGTGCTTCTGTGTGTCTCTCTAGGGTAGAGAAAGGCCTCATGTTTTCCATTCTCTGTTTCCTCCTCCTTCTCCATTCCCTATTGTGAAGGAGAAAATCCTCCAGATCTGAAATTTTCCAGCACTTCCCTGCAGTGAATTTTGATTCAACCTGCAGTGCCCAGATGCCAACTCATATTTATCAGGCGCAAGCAGCCACAGTCCAGATGCACGCGGGGCTGCTGCTGCATGGTAGACCTGGGAGGGAAGAATGCAAGTCGCACGGTTAAAATCCTGGGCGCTTGCTAACGCTGCTTTTTCTGTCTCCTGCCCTCACATGCATTGTGGACTTGGATTTGGGATGCTCTTGTAGTGTCACCAGAAAAGCTGTCAAATATGTGTTGGCAGAAATGGAGGCTTGAAAAATGCCTTTAATTGTGATTCCACTCTGTAGAACACAGATTGTCATGCTTTGAGCTCAGGTTTGTTTGTATCAGGGACAGACATTGATACTGCAGCTCCTGTTAGGGCATGAATATTTCAACAACTGAAATGGTGTCTGCCTGCTCCAGAGAAGAGTTGCTTACATCCTCGTTTGATCTCTTTAATAAGCCAAGCCAGCTCAGGTTGACACCCTGGTTATTTATTTCCTGGAGCTATGGTCTCTGCTAGCCATGCCCTGTGTGCTCTCCCCTCCCCTCTTCGTTCCAGACCCTCTGGGAACTCAAGTTAGGAAGACGTGAGATTTTTAGAAAGAAAAAAAGACTAAAGCAGTAAGAATTTGCTCCCTGATTTGTTTTGTGCTGAGGAGTCTCCTTGGATGCCTGACCCAGAAAAAGATGCAGTAATATTGGGAACTCTCTGGAGTGGCAATTTGTGGGGGCAGTCTTCTCCTTTCATTCCTGCCCCACACCTTCTCTCTGTGCTCTTCCGCATTCGCTTTCTCTTCCCACGGTTCCCCACACTCGGGGAACGCAGAGCCCTCCTCTCTAATGACATTAATGCCTTTGGGCACTTCAGAAAGTGCGAGCTGAGAACGGAGCTGTGTCCTTGTCCACAGTGTATTGACAGTTCTGGATTGCGTCTTGGAGCCTTCTTTTTGCAGGCTGTAGTGATACTGAAATGCCAGTGCTCCTACTATCATTGTGTTTCTCCAGAGTGTCTGACGAGGGGCTTTTCCTTCCTATAGCCACGATCCATAACGCAGACAGTGGCAACTTTGGGGCAGCTTGCTCTTCAGGGCATGACCCTGTCTGCTCCTATGGGCTGTAGAGCGCTCTGGACACTTTGATTGAATGCCAGCCCTCATCATGCCATAAGGAAAGGCAGTAGGGTGCTAGGCATGAGGTGGTTTTCCCATTCTGCTTCCTTGGTGTGGTAAGCTGTCTTCCCACGTATTTAGTGAATTCCTTGAGCAACAGCATGTGGATGAAGCTTCCCCTCCACAGATGATGCCAGAGGTCAGTTACCTGCTTCATTAATGTTTTTTGAGCTGCGGTTTTGTTGTGTTTACATCACCGATCCCTAGCAGAATGACAGAGCTTGGCCTCGTGGGTACAGCTGAAGACGTGTGATGCTCTGCGTGGAGAACTGATTCTCTCTCTTGGAAGAATACATCCATTAGAGACGTTTTCCTGGATGTAGTCGCTTGTGTTCCAGGACAGAAATTATACAGAGAGTTATAGCTGTGTATGTATACCGGGAAGCAGTGTCTAGTGAGGGTAATCCCAAAGTTAGGTCACAGTAGGATTTACTTTTAGGCAAGGACAGGAAAAAATTGTGCCCTTTCATTTTACCAACTGCCTCCAAAGCAAAAGCTCTTGGTCAACTGATGAATTTTGTTGATGGGCTCATTAGCCAGAAGGTGCCTTGCACATGCTCTAATATACCCTGTGATGTTAGTGAGGCGCTACACTGTGACCCATGGAGCTGGCCGTGTCCCAAACGATGGTCCCCCATGCTGCAGAAAGGGTGGCCCAGGCTCCTTCCCAGTGCACTCGCTTGAATTTTGGATGTTGATGCCAGAAGGCTGCGAGCAGTAGGTGCACGGCTCGAGCGTTTTTCTGTGTTCGGTCAGTCCTGCTCTCTGAGGAGCCCAGAGCATGTCTGTTCTGTGAAAGTTGTTTTCAGAGGATTACCGTAAATGGCTAAAAATGAGGCATGGAGAAAAACCATAGATGTGTTAAGGCAGGGCCTGACTGCTCCAGAAGGTTAGGGTGCCTGGTTGACTAGCGTCAAATACAGCGCTAAGGACAGTCCCTGCCTGCATCAGTTCACGTGGCTGACTGGAAAAGCAGGGGTGAAGTGAAGTGCCCGAGCTCATCAGCAGGGTGTTGGCAGAGCCAGCAAGGGATGACATCAGTTAGAAGCAAACGATTGAATTTTTGCACCCTGAACGCACTGTGGGGAAGAGTATTACTGGTTTGGATTGGAGCTTGCAAACCTAGGCCTGTAGGTGCCTAAATAATAGGACTGAGGTCCACAGTGACAAATGAAGACAATTTACTGCGGAGCGTTATTTCATGTGTCCCTTTCCAAAGCAGACCCATAGTACTTCCATCCGGCAGTGCTAGCAAGAGCAGAGCCCGGCCACCCTGAGGCTGCAGGCTCGTTCGAAACGCATACGCTGCAGGAGGGGCCCGCTGAATGATGAACTGATATTTGTGATGCATTTGGTGTTAAATCCATCTGATGCAAGAAGCTTGTGAAAGAATCTGAATTCAGGATGCGCTCATGCATGTAGCAGAAATTGTGTGTTTTGGTACTGTTTTGAGCAAAAGAAGAGCCCCGTTTCTGCTCTGCCGCCATTGCCGGCGTGTTGCTGGGCTGAATGTCCTAACGTAGCTGTTAGCACCATACACAAGTGGCCACGTAAGGCAGCATGATTGATAACGGAAGATGTAGGGGCTCCTCGGGGACTGGGGATTTAAAGGCTTTTTAGAGACTTTGCATTGCATTTCACTTGTATGTGTTGGGGGGGTGTATGCATATATATCATATGCAAATATATTTTGAGTTGCTGTGTGTTTTGTCTGTATTTAGAAAAGGAGTAGTTTGGAGAAAGAATCCTCCAGGAAATGTTGATTTTGCAAGCACAGGCCTCTTGACTGTGATTCTGGGGGGGGAGAAGGGGTGGGAATGAGGAGGAGGTTCACTGAGTTTTTTTTTTTTCTTTTCCCTTGTAGCGTTTTGGGAAAACTCCAGCCAAGGCCCACATGCAGTCAAATGAATCAGCCTCCCTTTTTGCCATAAGTAATTGGCAGCTCTAGCTGCAATGCAGTTTTGATGTATGGCTAATACAGTTTTTCGTGGCTGATTGAGGGGAGACACTGCAGTAGACACATGATGTTGATTTTGCCTTTGCATGGAGTCTCGGAGCTAGTAGGGCGATACCGTAAGGTCCTTCTTGAAAGGCTGGAGTTTGCTACAGTGCACTGGACGCGCTAGTCTTCAGGCTGTCTCTGCTGTTCAGCTGCTGTAGAAAACACATCTCTTGCTGCATACAGGAGTCGAGGGCACTGTAATCTGATTGCTCGGCACAGTGTTTGCTTGGAAAAGTCTCATTTTATAACAACTTCCACAGAACATTCATGTTCCTGGAGGAGTGACTGTTCCTGTGCTGACAAATAAACCGTTTCGGCCTTTTCATAAGCCTGTAAAAAAAATGAAATTCACTTATTTTCTAAAGCATCTGGTGCCAGTTCAGTCTCAGAGCTTTCTGTGTCTGCAGTAGGATTTCCAGTGGACTTGGAAAACTTACCAGACAAGCTCAGCATTCACCGCTGGAAGTATGGGGGCAAACTGGAAGGCTTCCTTGTCCTGGAACCAGAAGTTGTAGAAGTTGCCCTTGGCAGGCCAACGTTTGCCAAATGCCTCTTATTTCCTGTTGGAAGCATAGTTTTACGTGGAAATTCTGTATTACTTACACAACTCTAGTATCCATTGGTAAACATTTACTTTAATAGCGGACGCTTTACCTTAGCAGGGTAACAGCAGCGAGGGATGGATGCCGAGCGGTGCAGTGAGCATGCTGTGCTGGAACACGTGTTCTTTACAGTAGTTTACCTGGGAAATGGCTGACATATGAATTTCATAGCATTTGAAAACTGATTAGAAACAAGTTAATTGAGGAACCTTTGGTCACACAAGTGGTTAACTCAGCCTTGGAGTTTTAGTCGTGGCCAAGGCTTCCCTGAACTAAACACTGTCTAAACAGAGAAGACAGGCCTGGCCTCGAGTTATTCCTCTACGGGATTGCCTCATCTACAGGCAGCATGTGGCCTTCCTTCCCTCCGGTTGCTCTGCAGGGGAAGCAAACCTGCAAAGAGAACCTGCCAAAAAAAAAAAAAAAAGAACAAATGCAAAATCATCCTGGCGGGCAAATGCGGTGGGTTGGCTCTGAAGCGTGTTGGACCTGAAATGAAACACAAAATGGCTGTTTTTGCCTCATACCTTTGTAGGGGGCAGAGGGGACTCTTGGATGTTTACAGATGCAAAAGTGTAGAAAGCAGCATGGCATCTCCTTTCCGTGCCTACTTACCTGAACAACATTCCTG